TATATATATGTATGTATATATACACCCTACACACACGCGCGCGTGTGCACACACACACACACACACACACACACACACACACACACACACACACACACACACACACACACACACACACACACACACACACACACACACACACACACACACACACACACACACACACACACACACACACACACACACACACACACACACACACACACACACACACACACACACACACACACACACACACACACACACACACACACACACACACACACACACACACACACACACACACACACACACACACACACACACACACACACACACACACACACACACACACACACACACACACACACACACACACACACACACACACACACACACACACACACACACACACACACACACACACACACACACACACACACACACACACACACACACACACACACACACACACACACACACACACACACACACACACACACACACACACACACACACACACACACACACACACACACACACACACACACACACACACACACACACACACACACACACACACACACACACACACACACACACACACACACACACACACACACACACACACACACACACACACACACACACACACACACACACACACACACACACACACACACACACACACACACACACACACACACAAACACACACACACACACACACACACACACACACATACGTGTGTGTATCGATAATCCAGCACAAAAGTGTTGTCCAGCACAAGAGTTGTGTATTTTATGAAAGATACTTTTGCTTGTGTGAAATATCAATTTCTCTATTATTTGAAACTTTTTAATAAAAAATAAATAAATAAATAAATAAAAATTAAAAATTAATTAAAAATTAAAAAAATAAATAAAAAATAATAAATAATAAATATGTCACTCTTGAACAATAAATTAGAAACAGTATGTAGTATCTCTTTCTTATCAGTAATTTTGCAACTATACATTCAAACAGCTCTATTTCGGAAACCGTTTGAAATAGTTTGCACTCGTTTATATGAACTTTTTTGCTTAAAATGACCGATATCATTTGGGAATCACATTGCAAAAAAGAAATTATATAACAGTGATTTGAACGAATATATTATAAATAATATCGAGACACGAGATTCTCTCATAGAAACTCTACTTCAGACTCTACTTCAGACTCTACGTTATCACTCGAGAAAAATGGAAAAATCTCATTATATTGTCACAACTGATTTCAATGAAAATAAGATCAAAGATTAACCCATCTACACTAATGAATCATAATAATATAATAGTGATGTTTATTCTCTACTCGTTTTTCATAGTTTCTTCGAAGCGAACGCGCGTGATTATACATTTTTTTAAATTTTATGTTACGAGACGACATTCTCATTATTCTCATACGATCAATAAATATTAAACGACTTATCTTGAATTTAAATTACAGCTTTTCGAAGAAGTCAAGGCAGAAAGGGGATTGCCAGCGATCGAAAAAGTAATAACGGTCGTCAGCGGAGACGTATCACAGCTAGGACTTGGATTATCCCCGGAGGATAGAAAAATGCTCCGCGAGAATGTCGAAATCGTGTATCACGGAGCAGCTACCGTCAGGTAATGAAGACGAGAAAAAGATGTATCATTGCTCGCTGAAATTCAATGCTCTTAATATTTATCAATATATCTTCGATAAGATATGAAAATGATATATGATATTGCGAGTCTCTTCAGAAATTTCGTTCCTCTAATTCTCAGTTTCAGAAATAGTCAAATTGTTCCTTCTCGCATCATTTAATATCAATGTCCATTAATAATTTTATACATTATTGACAATTTATATGAATCATTACTTATAAATATCTCTCACAATTTCATTATTTAATCCGTGAACATACGGGTTTCTCTTCTGGGTGTGTACGCGAAGTTTTCCATTTTGCAGATTTGACGAATTGTTGAAAACAGCCGTACTGCTAAATACACGTGGCACAAAGCAGATGATAGAACTGGCTAAAGAAATGAAGAATTTACTTCTGTTTGTTCATATCAGCACGGCCTATTGCCATCTCGAAGAAAAAGTATGTATCTAATTTCTCTTTCTTTCATTGCTTCCCCCTCCCTCTTTATAAATGCATGCATAATAAATATGTATATATAGAGTGTCCCAGAAGGAAAGGTCAATATTCTGGGAGATGATGGTATCGGTCATTTTAAGCAAAAATGTTTATATGAACGAATGTCCTATTCCGAGTGGTTTCCGAGACAATTTAACTCACTATGCCTGAAGCGTCAGTTGACTGTTGTGACTATTGATAATGATATTGTAGAAATGTTGTTAAAAATGCCGCACATCTTCACAAATATCGAATATGCAGATATGTTGTATATTCACGGCTTTTGTGATAGTGCCACTGCTGCTATTGAAGAATACTGTCGATGCTTTTCTACGCGCAGAATTCCGGATCGTAATGTTTTCCAAGGTTTTCAATACATTGCGTAAAAGTACGCTTCCCAGTGCTCATATTTCATCTGAACAAGGACGTGAACAAAATGTGGAGGAACAGGAAAACATTCTTGAAATGGTACAGCGTAGCCATACTACTAGCACGCGAAGAGTTGCTGCACGTCTCGGTGTGCCACGAACATGCGTATGACAAACACTATATGAAGATACCTTGTAAAAAATAAAAAAAATTAATAAAAAATAAATAAATAAATAAATAAAAATTAAAAATTAATTAAAAATTAAAAAAATAAATAAAAAATAATAAATAATAAATATGTCACTCTTGAACAATAAATTAGAAACAGTATGTAGTATCTTATATATATATATATATATGTATGTATGTATATATACACCCTACATACACGCGCGCGTGCACACACACACACACACACACACACACACACACACACACACACACACACACACACACACACACACACACACACACACACACACACACACACACACACACACACACACACACACACACACACACACACACACACACACACACACACACACACACACACACACACACACACACACACACACACACACACACACACACACACACACACACACACACACACACACACACACACACACACACACACACACACACACACACACACACACACACACACACACACACACACACACACACACACACACACACACACACACACACACACACACACACACACACACACACACACACACACACACACACACACACACACACACACACACACACACACACACACACACACACACACACACACACACACACACACACACACACACACACACACACACACACACACACACACACACACACACACACACACACACACACACACACACACACACACACACACACACACACACACACACACACACACACACACACACACACACACACACACACACACACACACACACACACACACACACACACACACACACACACACACACACACACACACACACACACACACACACACACACACACACACACACACACACACACACACACACACACACACACACACACACACACACACACACACACACACACACACACACACACACACACACACACACACACACACACACACACACACACACACACACACACACACACACACACACACACACACACACACACACACACACACACACACACACACACACACACACACACACACACACACACACACACACACACACACACACACATACACACACACACATACGTGTGTATCGATAATCCAGCACAAAAGTGTTGTCCAGCACAAGAGTTGTGTATTTTATGAAAGATACTTTTGCTTGTGTGAAATATCAATTTCTCTATTATTTGAAACTTTGGGAATCACATTGCAAAAAAGAAATTATATAACAGTGATTTGAACGAATATATTATAAATAATATCGAGACACGAGATTCTCTCATAGAAACTCTACTTCAGACTCTACTTCAGACTCTACGTTATCACTCGAGAAAAATGGAAAAATCTCATTATATTGTCACAACTGATTTCAATGAAAATAAGATCAAAGATTAACCCATCTACACTAATGAATCATAATAATATAATAGTGATGTTTATTCTCTACTCGTTTTTCATAGTTTCTTCGAAGCGAACGCGCGTAATTATACATTTTTTTAAATTTTATGTTACGAGACGACATTCTCATTATTCTCATACGATCAATAAATATTAAACGACTTATCTTGAATTTAAATTACAGCTTTTCGAAGAAGTCAAGGCAGAAAGGGGATTGCCAGCGATCGAAAAAGTAATAACGGTCGTCAGCGGAGACGTATCACAGCTAGGACTTGGATTATCCCCGGAGGATAGAAAAATGCTCCGCGAGAATGTCGAAATCGTGTATCACGGAGCAGCTACCGTCAGGTAATGAAGACGAGAAAAAGATGTATCATTGCTCGCTGAAATTCAATGCTCTTAATATTTATCAATATATCTTCGATAAGATATGAAAATGATATATGATATTGCGAGTCTCTTCAGAAATTTCGTTCCTCTAATTCTCAGTTTCAGAAATAGTCAAATTGTTCCTTCTCGCATCATTTAATATCAATGTCCATTAATAATTTTATACATTATTGACAATTTATATGAATCATTACTTATAAATATCTCTCACAATTTCATTATTTAATCCGTGAACATACGGGTTTCTCTTCTGGGTGTGTACGCGAAGTTTTCCATTTTGCAGATTTGACGAATTGTTGAAAACAGCCGTACTGCTAAATACACGTGGCACAAAGCAGATGATAGAACTGGCTAAAGAAATGAAGAATTTACTTCTGTTTGTTCATATCAGCACGGCCTATTGCCATCTCGAAGAAAAAGTATGTATCTAATTTCTCTTTCTTTCATTGCTTCCCCCTCCCTCTTTATAAATGCATGCATAATAAATATGTATATATAGAGTGTCCCAGAAGGAAAGGTCAATATTCTGGGAGATGATGGTATCGGTCATTTTAAGCAAAAATGTTTATATGAACGAATGTCCTATTCCGAGTGGTTTCCGAGACAATTTAACTCACTATGCCTGAAGCGTCAGTTGACTGTTGTGACTATTGATAATGATATTGTAGAAATGTTGTTAAAAATGCCGCACATCTTCACAAATATCGAATATGCAGATATGTTGTATATTCACGGCTTTTGTGATAGTGCCACTGCTGCTATTGAAGAATACTGTCGATGCTTTTCTACGCGCAGAATTCCGGATCGTAATGTTTTCCAAGGTTTTCAATACATTGCGTAAAAGTACGCTTCCCAGTGCTCATATTTCATCTGAACAAGGACGTGAACAAAATGTGGAGGAACAGGAAAACATTCTTGAAATGGTACAGCGTAGCCATACTACTAGCACGCGAAGAGTTGCTGCACGTCTCGGTGTGCCACGAACATGCGTATGACAAACACTATATGAAGATACCTTGTAAAAAATAAAAAAAATTAATAAAAAATAAATAAATAAATAAATAAAAATTAAAAATTAATTAAAAATTAAAAAAATAAATAAAAAATAATAAATAATAAATATGTCACTCTTGAACAATAAATTAGAAACAGTATGTAGTATCTCTTTCTTATCAGTAATTTTGCAACTATACATTCAAACAGCTCTATTTCGGAAACCGTTTGAAATAGTTTGCACTCGTTTATATGAACTTTTTTGCTTAAAATGACCGATATCATTATCTCCAAGAATATTGACCTTTCCTCCTGGCATACCCATATATATAACGTGTTCTAGATGATAAAAAAAAAACAAATTGAAAATATAAAATAAAATTTTTTCACACTGTTTTTTCAGGAAACTTTGCTTTCGAAAAAAGAATAACTTAGAATATTCGTCAGGTATATTCGTGCACTTAACTATCTCTGCACATGTTTGTATTTATATTTAGTAGAATTTTTTTTTATCAATCTTGCTAATTTATCCTTATCGATAAGAACTCTTAGAGTTTCTATCATTACATACAACAATCAAGAGTACAAGGGCATGATTCTTGCATGTGGCGATAACATTTCTGCCGCTAATTACTAGAATCGGTATCCTAACCATCGATATCCCGATAAACGAGTTACTCAAAGAGCAGAACATAATTTTTTTTTAATTATTTATCGATATGGTAATCTATTTCGCCAAATAAGCATGATTCGCAAATAATTTTTTTTCGTGTGAAAAAACTTTATTCTATATTTTCAATTTCTTTTTTTCATATGGAATCACCTTTTTCCCGTTTCCATCAGTTACGAAATATCCTGTTATATGCACGCACACAAAAACTGTTCAAAAAACAATAAATTAGAACAACCGATCTTGGTAGGTTTTGTATGAGAAAACGTATCCTCCGCCAGCGGATCCTCATAAAGTAATCAAATGCGTCGAATGGATGGATGATGATGTAGTTGAGGCTATGACAGACAAGATCTTGGGAAAGCTACCTAATACATATGCCTTTACGAAAGCCTTATCGGAAGGTCTCATCGAAGAATCTATGCCGCATATCCCATCGATAATTTTGAGGTACCTATCGACAAAAGTCTTGAGATTTAGAAATTTGTGTAGATATATTAGAACGAGCACACACACAAACACACACACACACACACACACACACACACATACATTAAATAATTTCGATTTATTGACGATTTATCGACCATCAGGCCAAGCGTAGTTATTCCTATCTGGAAGGATCCGCTTCCCGGTTGGACGGACAATATTAATGGACCGACTGGTCTCTTAATCGGTGCTGGGAAGGGAGTAATCAGAACGATGTACTGCAATGAAAACGGTTACGCTGATTATCTTCCCGCTGATATCGCCGTCAATGCTATTCTTCTTTGCACGTGCAATTTTATTTATTTCAAGGAACATGAGAAACGAGTTTATAATCTTACAAGTAGTAGCGAGTTCAAGGTATATAGATCGCTGTATGACGCTTTATGGTATATGCATCCTCAGACGATGTTGAAACGAGATCTTTGATTTTTTTTTTTTTGTATTTTGATCTACAGGTTCCTTGGACGGAAATAATAGAACGCGGGCGAAAAATAACGCAACGAGTACCTCTAAACGGAATCTTGTGGTATCCAGGTGGTAGTATGAAGAAATCGCGACTTTTGCATAATATTTGTGTCTTACTTTTTCACATGATTCCGGCCTATTTTATTGACTCACTTCTCTTTTTGGCAGGCCATAAACCAATGTGAGTTATCACTGACACATGTCAGATCAAAAGTGCAAAAATACAAAAAATGCTTATAATACGCTTGTTCATTTTGTTTATATGCAGTATGTGCCGTATCCATCGCCGTATAAACAAAGGTTTCGAAGTTTTCGAATATTATGCCAATAGACAATGGGACTTTGATAATTCAAGTGTTCTCGATGCGAGGAGAAAAATGAATAGCGTAGAATATAACAAATATCAATTGCACGGCGATGACATGGACAAAGACGAGTACTTCGAAGCTTGCATTCGAGCTGCAAGGGTTTACATATTGAATGAAACTCCAGACACTCTACCGGCCGCTCGTCGACATTTGAGAATGTAAGTTTGAAATCGCGCAAAAAAAAATTTTTTTTTACGTAAAAAATTTAACGTTTTTCTTTTTCTTTTGTCACAGTATGTATTGGGTGGATGTATTTACGAAAATCTTTTTCTTTCTGCTCCTTATATATGTGCTGGCATCCTGGAGTGAAAGTTTTAGAACATTGCTCACAGATAGTGCAGCATATGTTTCAAAAGCGATAATGAAGTAATGTTTTATAGTTTAATCAAGTCAAAAACATTTTCTTCATCGATTGCATGCAAAGATTATATCTATTATATTGATCGAATTAAACTATCATTTAACATCAATGAAATGATTAAATATATAATTATATCTCGTAGTGTACGCATACTATAATTGTGTTCATTAGATATGAACAAAGTAAAAAGTAAATAAAAACATTATTTACACCATATCAAATGTGTCTTTTATTTTTATGAAAGATTATACACTCATCTTTACACAGATTCTTGTACGGGTGGTTCGTAGCCTTCCGGTCTATCAACCTTGGAACCGCTATCACCAGCTTCCTCACTCTTGTTACCACCTCCATCTCCATGCAACTCCAACAACTTGCTGAGTTCAAAGCGCGGTTTCTTCAATACTTTCACCTGATAAAATTATAACTTATTAATGTTTAATAATAGTAATCATGCATCATTAATCCTTTCACAGCACTGCCATGCAGTCATCGGACTGAGAAAAGTGAAATACTGACAGCTTTTTGATAGAAAAAGTGACAAAAAATAACCTTTAGATATTAAAATAGCAATCAAAAATGACACTGTGCATCAAATTTTCAGAGTAATTAAGGCCATTTAGGGGAGAGAAAAAAAGAAAAAAAGAAAAAGAAAACTGAATAGCCTACCATATAACAAATTAATAAAAAATAATAAAATATAATGATGAAATAAATAGTGCATTTTATTAAATATGTGAGCAAATAACAATTTTTATCAGATGAGACAGCAAAAATATGAATAGAACTCTTATGTTTTACAAATTTCATGTCAGATCAAGAAAAAACAAAAAAGATTATAGACCCATTTTGGGCAATAGTGACTTTCTAGTGACTTGTCAAAAAAAAAAGTAACAAAAAGTAACTTAAGTGACTAGATGGCAGCGCTGCTTTCATTACCAAGAGTGACTATAGTCATCTGCTTAGCGCTCGCATTAATGATTGTAGAATATGCCCATCAACATTTTTGACTTAATTGATGTAGTGTTACTAGCTTACAATTATAAATCAGTTATAAAAACATTCTTATAGATATTTCATAATTTCATAAAAACTTTTGTCGGCAATTATTTTGATTAATCATTAATACATACTACTAGTCTTCATATCCGTAAGCGCTTTTCGACTGAACATTGCCATAACGAAAAAATTAATTATTTTTGTGGAAAAGCATTAAATAATATAATCATTTATTCATAGATATTGCTACGAACCTTACGAATGTAAACGTCGTGCAAAGGATAAATGCCCTGCGAGGCTTTCTCGATATCTTTAGCCGTAGCATCCGGAAGTAACTTACTAACCACGCCTTTTAAATCGGTCTTAGTAACATCTTCCGTAATAGTTTCAACCATCTTTTGTCTGATTTTCTTAACCTAAATTAAACCATATCATTATATAAAATATGAAATTAAAACAAAAAAAGTTATATTGACAAAACGCGCAACTAAAAATAAGTGTTAAATAAGTATATTATCATTAAAACGAATCTAATTCAGCATTTCCACTGATTTAAATCAATTGGAAGTAAAATTTTAAACTTTAAATAATAATACTTTATGCATATAAATATTTCAAATATCTCATAAAATTAGAAAAATTCTTTGAACAAAACATTTATACATATATGTTAGTAAAGAATTTATTTATAAAACATATTAAAAAATCATGTGGCACGTTTCTATTTCACTACTTACTTGGAATTAATGAAAGTAGTGTGGTAAGCAACTGCGTTAATATACGCAATGCCTTCTGCCATTCACAACTACATATAAAAATTGAGATGGACAATAGGATTGCATATAATGCATGAAAAACAATTCAGCACAAACCTGTGCGTGTTGAGCATAACACGTCTTTCTCGTGCTCAGCTGATCTTTGTTTGTGAAACCAATGCAGAAAACTCGGAGCAGATAGCCATCTGTAGTTTTCACATCTACATTAGCCTCAATCAGAGTCTGCCATTTTTTCACCATTGATCGAAGCTTATCGGTTGTCAAGTCCATTCCATGAAAATTGGTCAATACATTACGACCTTGGACATCCTCGGCGATCAATCTAAATTTTCGAAACGATCTCTCTGCATCCTGATCACTTTGTAAATCAGCCAAGGACACTTCAAACACTCGAAACTTTAATCCCTCAGAAGCAATCTCTGTCAAATTAAATAAAAATATTTTATAATATTATATTGAGTTTTAATATATAATATATATATATAAAAGCAAAATAAAAGAAAAATCAGGAACAAAGAATATGTAACTAAAAGAAACAAATAATTCATATAGTAAGAACTTTATAGCTTATACTAATTAGACAATATTTTAGGACAAGAAAAAAAAATATTACTTGTCCCCTGAGTCCTGTTGACAAGAGTTTTCCCGACCTGCCGATTGGCAAACATAGACGGTGCCTTGACATCGTACCAGTCTTTGCGAGTAAAAGGATCAACGCTGAAATAATAGCACTATGTGAGAAAATATATACACACATGCAACATATAATACAATGAAAATTTTTTTTATTTTCTGTGATAGTGTTTCACGTCTGTACAGATTATCTCGCATAAATTAAATAAAATGGCAAAACTAAAGAGCTGTCTACAATGGCAATAACAAAGCTATAGAAGTAGGGTACACTGTTTTTGATGTAAAGACTGGGAGAAACAAACTGGGCAATTCCCATTCGCTCTTAGAATCAATTCTTCGCTCTGCACCACTTACTGCCATTGTAGACGACCCTTAAAAGTGGATTAGGTTAAAGTTTTATAGAACACGCATATAATAACGGATTACGTGTGCATCAAATGTCTTAAGATAACGATACTTTCACACAAAAATGCACGTTAACAGTATTTAAAAAATATTTAGAATGCATGTTTTATATAGTCATATATATTGATATAGTCCGAAATAAATAATATACAATATAATCGTCATATTAACAGTACATACTGCTGGCGTGAGGCGTGAGCCCGCCCGAGTATCCGACATAACCAAAGGAATCACGCAAAACGATAACTCGGTGAAAAGTTTTTCGCGTATATAAAATAATTAGCTAAATTTCAAGTGTAATATGTTTCACTCACATCTTCTTTTTCACTCCCTTTTTGCCACCTTTCGACAGACCCTTATTCTTACCCACCGCCATGATTCCAAGTCGCAAGCAAAAAGAAACATTCGAGACGGAAACTACTAGCCTAACCTGCCCGAGCGGAAACCATGGATATATTATATATAGATAGAGCTTTGTGTCATCGATCTTGAATATAAAGCAAGGAGCACACACTTTTGCATAAGCACATAATCATAAGAATAAGAAAATTGATTGGTCCATTTCCTTATGCATAAGAAAATGGACCAATCAATTTCCTTATGCTTATGATTATGCGCTTATGCAAAAGTGTGTGCTCCCCGCTTAAGAACGGACTATGAATACTGGCCTTATGGCTCTGCACACAGGACGCGGAAATGCTTGCCGCGCGGCAAAAGGCGACGCGGTAGCCATTGTTTATTTAAATTCCAAACAACCACTGCACCATTTGTTGCTGCTGTCGCCAGTATATGATCTATAAAATAAAATAATATTGCAACCTAAAAGGCAATCTAATATAGTATACATGAATATAGAATTTTTTAATGTATTTAACACATAGTATTATATTGAGAGAAGATCAACTAAATTAAATATATATAAGTAAGATTGTGACATAAACCAGAAAAAATTCAAACATCTATTTCTTTCTAAATATATATGATAATTGAAGTAAATTGTTAAGTTACCATCATTGAGGTTTCAGGCAACATCATTGCAAGAAAAATTAAGATTTAAATGTTTTCCAACCCGAAGATTGCAGGCTTCTTCAAATTTATTCTCCAGTAGAGTAAATATTTTAAAAACTGCAATATAATTCACACCCATATGATACAGTTATGTTAAAAATATGAAATTTTATTCAAAACTTATGATAAACAATCCGTTATATCATAATTACTAAAATTACAATACACACACACACGCATACACATCTATCTCTCCAAAAAAATATATTATACTAAAAAAACACACCGTTACGACCGGCTATCACAACCTAGCTATTATCTTCTTCTTCTTTGTTTGATTGGCACAAATTAATTACCCACCACACGGCCAGATGAGAAGGATTAAGTGAACAATTAGAAAGGATTCCTCTTTAGAAGGGGAAGATAAAACTCAAAAATATGATCCAAAGGACACACGCGTAACGTGTCCGAACACGTTCGTTCCCGCCTGCGCGCGGCAACGAACTTTTTTGGCTATTATCTTTATTAAGGGCTAAGGCTAATATTACATTTGTCGTACGACAAACTTTTTAAGCGCATTGGTTAGCTAATTTCTAGAGACTCAAGAAAGTTTCTATTTTGCAGCCAATCAATATGCTTAAAAAGTTTATCGTACGACAAATGTAATATCGGCCTTAAGATGTCTTAAACCAATCACAGAGCCGTATTAGCATCTTAAGACATTACTTAGGGCCGTGGCACATAAAAAAACTTAAGCAGTAAGGGCCGTGGCACATAGAAAAACTTAAGCAGTAAGACTTAAGACTTAAGAATTTCAACCATACGGAATTTTCAGCGTAGCTTACGTTTCAATATGGTTGCCTTACTGTTCGACCGTGATTGGTCAATTCGCTTACGTCTTAAGTCTTATTGCTTAAGTTTTTTTATGTGCCCGGGTCCTTAGGGTGCGAACTCATGCAGCGGAATAGCGTAA